TGGTGAAACTGCAGCTATTGCTTACTGAAAGAAAAATTTTCCTGCCTACAGCCATCTCCTGCCATTCCTCCTGCAATCTCATTAAGCCGTGTTTTGCTTTGCTGACACCAACGCTGCCAAAAAGCTCAGCTGGCGAAGGACTCTGTGTTAGTAATGTGGCTGGCATTCTGCCTCCTGCAGCTGAGGTCACTTCTGAGCACTTCTGAGTCTCTGCTGGTCCACTCGGAGAGCCTAAAGCTCTCTCCCCCTGTTCAGCTTCCCAATGAAGTAGCAGGCTTGCAATTGGACTATTGCACTGGCCTTGCTCCATCCACAGCAATGATAAGATCTGCAACTGCTATTTTTCTTGCCTTGCATCTTCTCTTTCCTAGCCASCCACCTGAGTTGTTGATATACTTCGTGATCCTGTGTTCCCATTCCACTTGAAAGCTCCAAGCAGCCCTGCAGACCATTTCCCCTAATTCACTGAAACAACTCGGCTTTGCTGGAGGATTTTACTAAAATCGTTTCAAATTTGGGTTAGAATGCTTCTTTTTCAGTTCCCTTGTGAAACTGTCATCACTCTCATTCTTGCAGGTTTTTTCATTTCAGAGGCCAGAGGTGTGAAGCACAAACTGCCTTCTTTGCAGTCTATTAACAACTTTAACTGTAGCCTCTAGAATGGAGTTCATTTCACTTCACCTTAGCCATCTAAAAGTCAGCCYAAGTCAATAATTTAGATTATCTCTATAATGACAAAGGAGACATTTCTTTTAGAAGAAAAACTTCTACACTGACGAATGGGGAGGTCTCCCCCTCTGGAGACATCTCTCCACTGCATGCATATCCAAGACACCTAATACTCAGAAACAAAAGGTAGATGAGTCTGATGATTGATGGTTTATGTCTTGACAGTATTTTGTAAACAGGAACTAATTATTTCTGGCTCTTAAAAGCTAAGTAAAACATTGTAGCCTATTTCAGAAAAGGTAAATAGAAGTACATAGAGAATATAGGACCTGCCAAAAGACTGGCAATCACTGTCGAAATCACAAGACAAAGACAGGAGATTCTCAATCMCAATCCTACTAAGACCATTAAACCATGCCTCTTTCAACAAACACCTTTCTCCTTGTTGCTTGCGAATGTATCAACAGCAGTTTTACACAGGTCATTAATTGCTTGTAGTGCCTTGCCTAAAAAAAGTGATCACACACAACAGATTTTCTGTCACTGGGTTGCCAGTCCATGCCATAACCCCTTCAAGCCAGCTTGAAGAGTSCATCCAACTTCCACATGCAGAGCAGCCCTGAGTGATACTTCACTTCTCTGGATTCAGTAAAATTCAAGTGGAGACACAGTTGTACCAGAAAAGTGTTGGTTTGGCTTTTGCTTTTATTCCCAGGAAAGAAGGGATATGAGCAAAAGCCATCTTTCCTCTGATCATAATTGTGGAAGGCTTTCCAGCTCCAAACATATTTTCTAGAGTAGAGCAAACCTTGAGCCTTCACAAGTACTGTGTCACCTTCCATACATAAAAGTTAGGCCAGTGAACATTCAGGTTCTTAGGTTATCCAAGCCCCTATGTGTGTATCTGTAATAATATACATATTTACACATACTTGAGTGTACCTGGAAGTGTTTGCATGTGCACACACACCATTTTATAATTTTTAGGAGTAACTCTTGATTCTGAAATATTTGTTCTTACTAATGAAGCACACAGCTCACCAGAAATTTGTATGCTCCTAAAGGGGAACTCCAAAGAGATAGATATCCTTCACTTTGTCAAGCTGGACTTAGCCTTCTGAAAAGACCGACAAGATCAGGAAGGGAGAAGTATGGCTATAAAACCAAGGTGAATAATTTGTGGTGCAATGTAGTTATAAAATCACTGGACAAATACCTCCTGTGCCTCTAATCCATTGAGCTGCTGGATGGGGAGTACATGTGGAGAAGCTCAGCTATATCATACAAAAGGCAGCATGGGAGTCCTGAATTCTTATTGCCAGCTTATCAGAAAGAGCCATAAGATAAAAAAGGAATTGCTCTTTTACAAACAGTTCAGTAGCTGAGAGCAGGGTTTGTTTGTGGTAAAGGCAGCCGTACACCCTGCACCCACTCTGCTACTGCGCCGAAAAAGAAAATGTAAGAATGCAAAGAAATAGCATTTTAATTTCAGATTGTWAATGCTACACTCTGCTCTTCCTGCCCCATGCTTCATTCCAAGGAAATGCTGCAGCATGCCAGACATGACCTCTTTTCATTGAGCAGAAACAAAACTGAGGAAACTGGAAATGACACTTTTTACTATGTTTAAACCCCCTTCTCATAGTAAGCAACAGCCACACCAGCAAGCCACAAACCAAGAGACACCTTAATGGTCCAGGAAGCTCAGAGATCTTTGAGTTAAATATTGAGCAATGCAGGTGCAGGCTGCAGATGGGAGGTTTGGGTGTGAAAGCACGCCAAGTGCATAACAAAACTCGATTGAAGGAAGCCAGTATTAAGATCTCAGTCTGAATTCATTGCACATAGACAGCAGGAATTCCACAGATASCCTGTGTGAGAAACAAGAAAGTTTTCAAGGTTCCTCAGTGTGTGAGCCACTGGCATAAAAAGGGACCTGCATGGCTTTGGTCTCTCAATTACAGTTATCACTGGGCACACTCAAGGATATCTTCTGCTAAATACACAGGGGTGAATAACTTCTTGGTGCAACACAGTTGAAGTGAGTGCAGAATTTAGTCTTTATTCACAGAATCAATGTTTTTTCAAGATTTGTGTCTAATTATTTCAGAATTAAGAACTGAAGATTTTGCTGGTCTTACCCCATCATGCTATTTCATCTGTAAACTACAGGAGGTAATCTCTTACACACAAAGCTTAGTGAAGAGAAAYCTTATCAAAGCAGTCCCTTCCATTTCCGTGGAACCATAGACATACTGGTATTTGGAATCTGGGACATTGTTCATGCAGTGGTTTTGACATATAAAATAGTGTGTGAGCCTACACTATTCCATTACTGTTGACTACTTAAAAGACAGACTTTATGATTTATTTTTCATGTCTTGCATTTCTTTGCTTAGGTTCCAATTTTTCCTAACCTTTTTAGCCAGCATTTTAAGTTTACACATTTTTAGTTATCATACCAGAAATATATGCAGTATATTAGGTTAGACACATATGCAAGCCTTTGTAGAATGTAGGAGACTTCACAAAAACTGAAATTCTCTCTTCCTCAAGTGTCTTTGAAATTACTTCTAAACTTTTATTCAAACTTAAGGATAGGATATGTAAATAGGATTTATGTATTAAATGGGCTGTTAGCATATGGGTGAATTTGGTCCAGTGGGTGTGTATGTTGATTTTCCACTCTAGAATTTCTGATCCTCCCAGTTCTTCATTACTACCTGCCAAGATCACTATTGTTAGATTTGGATTTTTCTACACCTGAAGACAGATTTATAACCTTTATGGTCAAAGTATTCCACATCTGATCCTTTTTCTATTTGCCTCTAACTCTCTTTCCCAGCTCTGATTGTAACTACTTTGAACAGTTCAAATGGATTGATGATGTTTTCATTAATTATTCATGCAACTAAAAGCTAGTTTATTAAGAAAATAGGTCTTGGTTTCTGGAGTTCTGGAAAAAAAGCATGTCACTGAGGACTTCCCAAAGTTGATGGTGTCCCCATAGAGGTTCTAACTTTCTCAAGTGCTTATTTCTGAGAACTTCCAGCTCCAAAGGACTGGTGATTGCAATAATTTTCTTTGGAAGATATGAGAGTTTAAACATTTCAGGCTTARTGGCAAATTTTGAAGCTACTTAATAGACCTTTCTGAGAGAAACATTAATTTTCTATTTTGAGTTATACAATTATTTCTGTAAGGTAATAAAATTCAACTACTTTTGAAAATGAATGTTATACTAGCTGTCTTATTTTGTAAAATTGTATTTCCTTAAAGTTTGATAGTTTGGCTCTTAAAGCACCTTGTCTATTTTCAATTAGATCTTAAATAACTGGCACAGACACATCTCTGAAACCCAATAATTAAAAGCTCTGATTTGAGACTTCTGTATTTTGAGTTCATAATTCTTACCATAAGCACACTCCAAAAAGAGATTAAACTTTGTGCCAGAATGTAATGTTACAATTATACCACATTTCTTTTTCAAAAGTCAAGTATTCAAAGATAGAAGAACAAAAAAMCAAAAATGGTATTAAAAGTAAGAGCCATTAGTTTATCCAAGAAAAATACATACCCTGTACAAAACTGGAGACTCCACAAATCCCAAACTCTAAATTTCCAACTACTCATTGAATACACACCTAACCAGTAGCAGTTTGTCCAGCCCTTTTATTAGTATGCACAATATATTGCCCTCTCCAGAGGTGCTCTGCAACTGCYTCATAAAGAGGAGAAAAGGCAACAGGCACAATGGAAGAGGCCAAAGGAAGACTTTGGCTATTGTTTGCCCCAAAAAGATGACAGAACAGATTTGATGCCTGCAGAAATAAATACAACATATTTATTTATAAAATATTCTATTTGTAAATTAATTATTTATAAATACAACTTGTATTTATTTTAAAAAATAAGCTTCAGAATTGCTACAGCAGATTTTTATGATGGTATTTCTAAACAACTTTTTACCAAAGGTGGAATTTCTTCACTGATGTGAATCTGCTTTGAGTATTTCAACCTCACTAGGTTTTGCAGAAGCAGTTCCCTCAAGAGGTACTCACTAAATGAATAACTTTGCTGTTCATAAGGGATCCAAAGAAGCCTGAGGAGAGCATGCCTTCTGTGTAGACTGAGAAGAGTAAACTGAAAAGCCGAGTTCATGTTCCCCTAGTTGTGCTCTTCTTAGTCCCATGTAATTCAGACATTCCAGACAGACTCTCCAACAGACACTGAACAGCAGTGCTCTCCCAGCAGCAATGCACTTGTAAAGGCAGCCATCATTAACATTCCCACWGCTCTTCCCACACCCATCCCTAGTAACACCCTTTTACCAAGTTTCTGAAAGCATCTTTGGATCTTTGGAAAGGTCTACAATGCTCTATGTCTGTTCCTGTTCTGGTCAACTGTCTCCTCTCTAAAGACCTCTTCCTCTCTTCCATCTCTCTTGCATACTGTGAAAGAACACGGTAGGGATAAGGATTTCATTTACAGTTTTTATAGATACAAAACCCCATGCTTATACGACCCAGGAGAGATAAAGAGATAAAATCTAATTTCTGGGTAGTTTTCAGTAACTTTTTCCTGTTTTGGGAACTGTTTTATTTCTGTTTAAATGTTACTATAGATACTGGAATTTAGCCTCACAAAGTTACATAACCAGCCTTTGCAGAGGCGAGGGCAAGGGTGTCCGGAGGGACATAACACCCTCCTGTGTGAATCTGATGCAGAGAGCATTTGGAGCAGAAGTGCTGGGAGGGAAAGGTACCCTTCACACCTCTCTCCAGGTCCGGGAGGCTGTGTGCCTGCCCTGAGGCCCACAAGGGATGGAATATGGCTGAAGCATCTGGGAATGACTGGGTGGGTGAAAATAGTCATAGGACAGTCAWAAAAAATATTGAAATAGTAACAGCAGATTTTGTTCAGACCTAGAAAGACAGAGACACATACTAACAAACATYCCACAGTTTGTAAACAGGAATGAAGGTACATTGCAATTGTCTGGACTATTCAGGACACTGATGTGCACAGAAACAACCACCTCAGAAGAAGCTAAGTCTAGGCCCAGGGTGTCGGTGTGGTCAAGCACAGTAGACAACTAACCCAAAAAACTGAGCTGGTCAGTTGTGTCATTGATGTCTCTGTGCCCCATATCTGTGGTGGTGGCTGGAGAAGTACAGTTCAAAAATCACCAGTTTCCTCAGAGCACACTCTCAGCAATGTTACCTGACCATGGTAGTGTGCTCATGGCCTCAGGCATTTTTCTATTACTCATGAATATTTCTTTATCATATGGTAGGGAGAAAGAAGTTTCTAAACCAACTTATAAAAGAATTTGGCATTTTCATCATCATGTTCATAATTTAGCAAATAACTTAGGAAAAGTCCACTATCCTCAAAGACTGTCAAACCTCTATTGCTCCACCAAATACAACTTAATTCCAAGCGGACGTCTGCATGTAAGAGGGGAAGGATGATGCACTGCTTTCCCAATGTTTTCAACAAAGCCAGGTTCAGCTCTTGACCTCTTGAAACATTTCAGCCCAAACCCACAATTTGAAACTGAGATAGGCATTTGAACATTTGACAGAGAATCTACTGATTCAAACGCTGTAATTTTCACACTTCCCTGCCCACAGTACCAGTTTCCTGAAACTTATGATCATGCTTCCCTATTTCACAGAGCTGCAGCAAAGAGAAATTCCCTTGTGATGTATGTGATGCTTGCCATCAAAGTCTAAAGAACAGAACTGAAGAAGAGCTGAAATGAAAATACCCTGCATCCCAGGCTTATAAAATGCCCAAACGCTTTTTATTTAAATTAGTTTGCATTGTAATCTTGCCTTTCTGGACAACTGCTACAAATGGTCCCTTTACAACCAATGCAGAGGCTGCTGCTTCTTTAGTGAAACAAGGAGAGAGCTCAACAAGACAGAGACATCAGAMACAGCCATTTAGGACCAAAAGTAACAACTAATCAACATCACATGGCAATATAGGCAAGCAGATTTTGTGAACAGAAGACCCATTTCACCTTTCCTGCATACCCAGTTTTATGTTTCACAGCTCCTATCCCACGGCCAATTATACTGATACCAAAGCTTTTAACCCATAGGTAGTTTTTTAATTAATAAACACAATTTAGATACTCCTCACAAGCTATGAGTGTAGTCCTGTACTTGAAAAAGTCTCCAATACCATTTGAAATAAGTATACAGCCAGCCCACTCAAGTTAGTAGATTTTTCCCAAAGCAGGCAGTACAGGTCAGACACAGGTCCACTGCATTTGTACATTTAAAAGACAGGGTTTATGTAAATACAAAGACCGATAGTAAATGATCAGCACCAAGAAGGCAAGTAGGAGGTCCTTACTCCAGTGCTTGTACTACACACATACATACATATATATATATATATACACACACATATGTATACAGTCATTTCAATTCTATTTCCTCCTTCTGTTACCAACAAAATAAATAGAATAAAATCCCTCAGCAAGAAAACAAAAACCACAACAAAACAAACAAACAAATTTTTAAAAGCCCAGTTTGCCTTGAGAAATGCCAACAGAGAACAATTTTTATGATGCACTGACTTCCCCACTGTCCAGGTTTTGGATGGAGTTCATTTTTTTCCTAGTAGCTGGTATAGGGCTGGGCGTTGGATTTAGTATGAAAATAATGTTGATAACACACTGATGTTTGAGTTGTTGATGAGCAGTGTTTACTCTAAGTCAAGGGCTTTTCAGCTACCCACCTCTGACAGCAAGGAGGTGCACAAGAAGCATGGAGGGAGCATGGCAACCTGATTCCTTCAAAACTGTTTCAAGATGCACACTGGAAACATGAGGACTTTAAAAGAACCTGGTCTTTTTTGAAAATGGAATACTAACATAAAGTGACATATATTAAGGAACAGAAATAGTGAGTTTTCCCTCAAAGCTTAGACAGGAAAATGTTTTTCTGGTGACAGTTTTATCTGATTCATGAAGAATTTTGAAGGTGTTTGGCAAAACACAATGTACAAATGTTTTTCATACTGTATTGAAGAAGCTATGAGCACAACTGAAAGACTTGSACATATTGTGAAACAGTTTCTTTACTTTCACATCATTTTAATGTCAGTCACCATTTCCTAATGAAATCCTGAACCATAAACTGAGTTGTAGACAGGATACCTATGTAGTAACCCCCCAAGACTTCMGATGTTCTGAATGCYACATTCCCTTCTATCCCTTCTACCTCTTCTTTTACAATCCCATATGTCTTTGCTTGAATTATAACTACTGCTGGAGTATTTCAAATAAATTCAGGCCATTTTAACCAATCAGTTCAGTGTCGTTCTTTGCTCAGAAATGCCAGTGTGACCTTACTATTTGCTGAATCTGTAAATAAGTAATTATTTGGCTTACTTATTAAGGTAACACACCCTAGCTAGGAYGAAAAACCAGACCTACAAGATAATCCTCATCTCAGGTTTCTGCTGGCTGTACTGTGTCAAAGAATATGCCTATATTGTATGAGAGAAATTTCATCCAGCCTTCATATTGTAGTTGGAAGTGCAAGGCACAGGTGGTCAAAGCAATGGTTATCAAACAGGCACTTTCTCTCATTAATTTACGAGTACAGAATTTTGYTCTGCAGATAGAAAGATATATTTTCCTTACTGCAGACACTGTATTGTTAAGTATATAATCAAAAATTTCTGTCAACTTACTTTTCATTAAAATAGGTGGATCAATAATGGCATTATTAGGTATTTGTGTAGAAGGCAAAGAAATTAAATTTCATAGAAGAGGTTTATATTTCACATTATAGTTGATATCACCCCATTAATCTTTTTTTTATATATACACTGAAATTCTAAATATCATTGCTTTAAAAATTAATTTTGAAGTATTATGAAAAGAGCAGTTATGTTTAAAAAACAGACATGCYGATATAATAAAAAATGTTTGAAATTACATATTTGCCTAGGTTGGGTAGAGTTTGTTTTTTGGTTTTTGTTTCTTTTTTTTTTTCTTTTAATACTTAGAATATGCAGTAAATTAAAAMAATTATTTATTGCTGGTTAAAATAGAGGGTGAAGCTTTTTCCCCCGTTTTTAAGCAACAGGTGACAWTCTTGCTGGAGCATATAGTGCTGCATATAGGTATGTAAGATGGTAGCCACTGGCTATTCCTTTACTTTGTCATTAATGTCTGCATTATGATAATTTTAACTTGCAATTTGTTCTCACTCAGGTTTTCTTTTTAACAAGTACAGCATTTTATAGCTAGAAGTTGCCATTAACAGCCTGATTTTAGAGTACATAATGATCCTTATCTTCCCCCCAGCAGAGGTACTTAGTACAGAAGCAAAGAATCACAGCATTGGTCAGGCTGGAAAGGACCTCAGTAGGCTGTTTAGTCCAAACTTCATTCAGAACAGGTTTTGAGTTTAAATTTGTCTAGACTTTGTCCAGTCAGATCCTGAAAACCTTTGGAAAACATTTCAGAGCCTCTCTGGGCAACCTGTTCCAAAGCTTCACAACAAAATAATGTTTTTTTCTTGTTTTTAATTCCCCTCCCCCACTCCCTCATTTTTAGGAAACCACAGTTTCCCATTTCCACACTGTGCTCTTCAGCTTCAGTTTTACCTCCTCAGTAACCTCCAGTAGTCAGGAGGCTGCTCTTATGTCTCCTGACACCATTTATTGTCCAGGTTGTCACAGCCTTTAATGATTTTTTTTTAATATAGTGATAGTTTTACTTTACAAAAATCAGCTAAAGATGACAGCTAGTTCAAACCGATCAGAGTCTGCAAAGGTTTTTCAAACAGCAAGAGAAGGAACCATTATTTTATCAATTTCAGTACATTCTTCAGTCAAATGAATTAAATTCTGCATTTTTTCTGGTAAGTCATTTCAGGGCCTCACAATTCAGCAAAGAAATGTACTAACTTCTCAGTAAACATTCAATAACATTAGAGTAAAAGAGATACAACACTTTTAGTTCTACATTAACTTTTCAAATTCTTTTAGTATATCTCTTTTATATAATACCAGCTTTGCAAGGGAAAAAAAACCAAAACAACAAACCAAACCAAACCAAACCAAACCAAACATTGTTTCCCAAAATTGCATGCTTTTGAAGTTTGTTTTTGAATATTGAGCATTATGAGTCATTTGTGACTGTGGAAATTCCAGTAAGTCAATGGAGTTACGTCAGACCTGAATTGGACTCTTTAATTCCTGACAGTACATCCTAAACTACACAAACACCCCTAATGTGAAAGAAGGGTGTGAACATTCTCCATATTTTAAGACTGCTCTCAATCACCCAAATTAAAGCCAAAATTGCTCCTCCATTCTTGCAGGACATAAAAACCTGTGATCTCYGGATATATGAATCCTCCAAAGATCAATCTGTGTCCACACAAGTTATATAAAACTATACATAATAAAACATGACAAAATGGGGAAATAAAATCTTAAATTAAACAAAAAAAAACCACCTTAATAAAGTATCTTAATATTTATCTGTTTTCCCATCAGTCAAGGAAATAAATAATAATTGAAGGTCTAGCAGCTTTAACTATAGATTACTGTAG